CACTTCCATGTAATATCGAGCTCTCGGCCCGGCCTCTGCCATTGTCTGTCTATTACGGTCAGTAACTACTGTCCCGACGTTACGAGTAGAGAACGCTGCCATTAGTCACAGTATTTTCTATATCTATGGCAATAGCCGGTGTCCATTTCGACATGGTCATTAACTCTCCTCTCTCTCTCTCTCTCTTGTTCTCCACAATCGATAGTCTTAGATCCCCTTAACTGCTTCATCGGAGGAAATAGTCATCGCGAAAATTAACGAAAGAAAAAATTCACGGAAGATATCTGTTCACGGTGGCGTAAAAAAGTCAAAGGGAAAACAGTATTTACCTGGAACAGGGTAATTTACAGCCGCATCGATGGTACATGGAAGTTAAACCCTTTCACGTTCACTATTTATTAGTTCAGTCTGTGAAAGTTCAGGGAGAGCGTGTAACTATCGTGGAACGATCGCAGTTCGTAACTGTGGAAAACTAGTGATGAGCCCTTTGCAAACATCCTACACACATGACAGTCGAAGAGTATAACCGTGGGCTATGTCAATATAACGATCGGTAATTGCCGCACGCGTCGTACACCCACTTGATTCGGTGTACCTGAGAGTAAGCAAGAAATGCCCTAGGTCAGAATAATTCCGGGGAGCTGTGTGACACAGGATGATTGCACAGCTCGTGACCGGAATTGATCGTGGAACCGTATACCTTCGCCGCGTAACATTTCTATGGGAAATTCTACCCGTTCGTCGGTGGCCGGTGCTTGTATGAAAAATTATCCCTAATTATTCCATTACCCTCTTCCACCGCCATAATTTCCACTTTAACCGCGTTATTTAAACGTACGTTTATAACTTCGCCGAAGAGAGACTTTCATTATCCAGACATTGATTTCTTTTTTTTCTTCTTTTTGTGAAAAGAAACTATAGCCGTGTGATATTATACCAGACATATTGTTCATAATTGCACGTCCTCACGCACGGTCACGGATTGTTCGATATTTCAAGGTTCAAACAAGTACGAATTCGGTGGGAAATCCTGTATAATACACCTGTACGAATTTAAATTGTGTGTCACTGTTGCAATCGAAAAACTATACACCTACATCTGTCCATACAAAAACTTGTTAAAAAAAAAAAAAATAGAACGTCCATATAAACGAAATACATTTAAATTAAAAAAAGAAAAAAGCAACGATGCTCTTCTTTTATTCTCGCGTTCGTTGTGCTTCATTTATATTTCCTACGCGTAATTGCGTTCTCCTCTGTCGTAATGGGTCTCTCCGCCTCGTTTACATAACAGCAACGACGATAATAATAATTATTATTACAATTAATAGTATCGCGGATATCGAATTAGATTGGAGCGTGACGCAGTGCGGACCGGGTCGCGGACAAAAGGGTGGTTCGCGCCCGCGTGCGACATTTTTTCAACGTCGCACCGCGCTCTACATTCGCTCCTTGAAATATCGACGCGGCGCACGATTTATAAAACTTATACGCTGCCATCGGGCGTAAATAGTCGGCCGGCTAAATGTACCGTGACTTTTATGCGTTCGTCAGACGATTCCGCTATGTACACCGACGACTATTCTCCGATAACGTTTTCTCACCGAGGCGCTTTTCCCGTATTTAAAAGCGAGAAAAGCCTATTGCAAGAAGTGGTATGAACGAGAGGCGAGAGGATGGGGCGAGATTATCCTTAGAGCTGAGCGAGAGATGATGGCACCGAGGCTCGTAGTTGAAATTGGCCGTGAAACGTGGATGTAACACAGCAGGACGAAGAAGAACAAGAGGAGGAACAGTAGATTCATCGGGTGACGATACGATCTCTCCGTCACTCTATATATGTACGTCTTTATGGTCTATCATAAAGTTTAGGCACCTGGCGTGTAACGAGTGGATACGAGGTGCTTTTTGCACCCGGGAGAGATTGAATCCTTCGTGTTTGTCCGCGTAAAACATATAATCCTACGCGATCTCACACTTTCTTTTCAACCGTGCACTCTCAAGAATTAGTCAATTACATCTTCCTCCGGTGTTTTTAATCTTTTAATTTGGCGATACTCGAGAGAGAGAGAGAGAGAAGGAAAAGAATATCGAGCAAATTTCCAACGAAGTTGCACTTGTATCGAAACGCGGTTAAAACCGCCTCTCTTCATCCACTTCACCGCGGGAACGATATCAAACACTCAACGAGAGATTAAATGGAATGATTCGAGTAGCAGAAAGATTACGCACTCTGGCCGGACGGGTAGAAAAATTGACCGTGGAATTAAAGAGCGAAGAGAGATCTGTCTTCGAACGATAAGATCTTCGTCACACCAGTCAGCTTAAGCTTGCTCCAGTGTCGCCGAGATTTTCTTTTCTCTCTGCTCCTCTCTCTTTTCCCCTTGGAAACCTCTCTCCACTTGCCACGCGTTAAGACCCTTTAACGTGTGACCCTCATTAACATGTAAGGGGCACATTTCATCTGGCGCGATGTGCTTTATGCGCGCCACACTCTTAGAAACTTTTACGTAAGGTCTCGCAGAAGCTGTGGTATTTAAAAAGATGGCCGACGGTAAAGGATGCCAGCACAACTCGCCGGATAACTAAGCTGTGAACATACGTTGCATCTCGAAGAATAATGAGAAACGACAACGACGACGACGGATAAACAGCTGCTAGCTACACAAGAGAGAGAGAGCAGCTATCCTTTTGGGACGGTTTCTCACGTACGTTGGAAATTTGCTCGCGCAACCTCCATCAGTTCTTACCGGGGTGAAATATTTCGGATAGAGGCAGGGGGAAAACAAAAGGTATAAAGGATAGTTAGATGGAGGGGATCGCGTGAGAGAACGTGTTCTCATAATAAGGTAGGCGGTGTAACGAATTTCAATTGGCCAACGTAATCAAGTAGATAAAAGGGCGGGTGCTGAATGATAAGGGATTCGACTCACGTTTTACCTTTGAAACGTAGCTGAAGCTAATGCTACCACGCCCACCTACGAATCGATTATACTTCGCGCTTGATTAATGGTTTGCACAAATCTATAAACGATTCAGGAAGCCCGGAATGTGTTATATAGGAAGCTTTCGAGAATTCCTCACGATCCAACCAACGATACCCAGTTTCGCGTGGCTTCCGCGATACCGAGAAACGAACGCCGGGAGTTGCCCCGGTCTGGTTTGACTTCGGGATCGGGTTAAATAACTGTTTCAGCCGCGGAAACATTCCTGCGAGTAGCCCGTGGACTGTCGCGTCGAGGTTCGAATTCGCCCGTGGAGAAAATCTCGGAAAGAGGGAAACGTGAAACGGGAGCAACGAATTAGAAAGGACGTGGCGAACCAGAGTGGAGCGCAAACAGGTAACAACTCCGTATCCAGAGGCGTAAAACTTGTCTCTTCGAATCGATACTTTTTATTAAAACAGAAGAGGAAGGTAACACGAACAAAAAAAGAAACAACAACGAATTTTGTTTGCATAAGAGAAGACAAGGAAAAAGTACTCATATAGGGAGTACATCAGAGCAAATAAACGTCGAAACATCGTGTCGTGTTCGAGAGTGCACGCTTTTTCCTTGCATTCGATTCACGCCTGAACGATGTGTATCGGTAAATAAACGTTTACAAATATTGACGTGCAAAGGGAGAGTTCTTTTCTATCTGCGTGATCTGGTCACAATTTCCTCTCTGTCTTTTTTTCTTTTTTTGCTTCATCTAGTTTGTTCTAGATTTAATATGCATGGAATGAAATTAAGGAGGAGGAAGAAGAAGAAGAGGAAAGAAAGGAGGACGAAGAAACGCGAGTTCCATCGTGCAGGCGATTAATTTAGCTTGCCGTCGGTGCATCGCGATAAATATTTGTTTCATAAAAGCACCGTTTTAATTAAGCCACACACATTTCTCCGGCAACCAGCGCCGCCGTGCCGCGCCTCCTTCCCTCGCAGTCTTCCATTCGATTTACATCCCGTTTAAATTATTATTAAAGTCCACGCGCGCATAATGTATAAGCGTCCACCTACACCAACACTAACGCACACGTACAGATCTCTCTATACTACCTCTTCTCACCTACGACACGTCACGAAATAACTCTTTAGAATTTAATGAATCGGAAATGAGACACGTGGACCAGGCATTCATACGGTTAGTTTGAAAGGAGGGACACAGTCTAGAGCGATACATGGCAGACGCGTTTCTCTCACGGTAAATACGAATCACCGCCACTCTATCAACGGAATCTCTCAACCGTTCCGACATTTCGAGTTCCCTCCATTTGCGTGGTTTTCAGCTTGTTGGCCGTCTATGATTTCTCTTCTACCGTTCCAACGAAATTGTTGTTCCGTCGAGAAACGATATTTCTAAGCCGCTTCCTTCTATTTTCCACCCTTAGTCAACGTGTCATATTTACAATTTCCACGGACCA